TGAAAGAGGACGCATTCCGCCAAGGTGCCCTCTCTCATTTTGGAAGGGGTCGGGTCTTACCGAGCACGTGTGTTTCTGGGGTGTGTGTGTGTCACCGTTGCAACCCTTTCCCCTGCAGGGTTGCCAAGATGCCAGGCTGGGGTTTATGCAAATGAGCCGGCTCCTCCGCATTACCATAACTTTAAATAATTAATGAGAACTGCTCGAGGGCTCAGATTCTCGGCTTCTCGTTTGCATATTTATTAAGATTTATAAATGATTCAGAGTCCTCCCCCACCTCTGACACATTGTCCTACCCAAACCCCCCCCACACACACACACCTGCTTTCCCCCCTTCCCAAACCCCTTCAAGGATTGCAGACACTGACTTTGCTGTGCTTAAAGTGAAAGGCGGGGCAGGGGCGAAAGGAACCGGGTCTTCCGAACGGACCGGCGACTGAGAGATGGACGTGGAGACCCAGAGCTCTTCCGCTTCTTCCCCGTCCCTCGGCGGACCCTGGCTGAACAAGAAGTTAGAAGTGCTTGCGCTGAGAAATCCTGCTCCCCTTACTCAGATGGCTTTGCCTGAGAAGACCTTTCCCACGATTCACTGTGAGCCCAAAGGACTTGAGTCTGGGGAGAAAAAAGCCAGGGGGAGGGGCGGCAAAGGTTCCCAATTTGTGGTGAATCTGGGCCAGCTATTACTTAACCTTGGATGGACTGCCGTGCTGCAGTGCGTTGGGAGAAAGTTGCTTTCGGGTGGCTCCCAATGGAGATGGCGAACCTCAACAGCATGATAAAAAGTAGAGACATCACCCTGCCAACAAAAGTCAGCATGGTCAAAGCCATGGTATTCCCAGTAGTCATGTATGGCTGCGAGAGTTGGACTATAAGGAAGGCCGAGCGCAGAAGAATAGATTCTTTTGAACTATGGTGCTGGAGAAGACTCTTGAGAGTCCCTTGGATTGCAAGAAGATCAAATCAGTCAATCCTAAAAGAAATCAACCCTGACTGTTCCCTGGAAGGCCAGATAATGAAACTGAAGCTCAAAAACTTTGGCCACCAAATGAGAAGGGAGCACTCACTGGAGAGGACCCTGATGCTGGGAAAGATTGAAGGTCAAAGAAGACGGGGGCGGCAAAGGATGAGATGGTTAAACAGTGTCATAGATGCAACGAACATGAAAGTGAGCCAACTTCAGAGGACGGCGGAAGACCGGAAGGCCTGGTGGGAGCTGGTCCATGGGGTCGCAAAGAGTCGGACTCGACTGTGCGACTGAACAACAACAATGGAGATGATGGGCAAGGGCTGCAAAATATACTCTTCCATCCAATTTCTCATTTGTTTGTGGCATTCAGTGCCAGGGTACACAGAGATGACAGCTACATAAGAACATAAGAGAAGCCATGTCGGATCAGGCCAGTGGCCCATCCAATCCTACGCTCTGTGTCACACAGTGACCACAATCCAGGTGCCACCAGGAGGTCCACCAGCAGGGCCAGAACTCCAGAAACCGTCCCACTCTTGCCCCCCAAGCCCCAAGAATACAGAGCATCACTGCCCCAGACATAAGAGAAGCCATGCTGGATCAGGCCAGTGGCCCATCCAGTCCAACACTCTGTGTTACACAGTGGCCAAAACCCAGGTGCCATCAGGAGGTCCACCAGTGGGGCCAGAACTCCAGAAGCCCTCCCACTGTTGCACCAAGAAGACCAAGCAGTGTTCCATCTATACCTTCTGACCAATGCTCCCCCTAAGCTTGTGAGCAAAAATTCTACTTTGTGAGCTACTGGTGTTAAAGTTGTGAGCGAGCAATTTGGCTACTGCATAAATTAGTTTGCTCTGGAGCCATCCTCCCTGAGCTAAGACAAAAGTGTGTGAGCCGGAGGCTAAGAAACTGTGAGCTGGCTCACACTAACTCAGCTCAGAGGAAACACTGCTTGTGACCAATAACCACTGATGGACCTCTGCTCCATATGTTCATCCGAACCCCTCTTGAACCTGTCTGTGCTTGTAGCCGTTATCACTTCCTGTGGCAGTGAATTCCACAGGTTCATTACTCTTTGGGTGAAGAAGTATGTACCGTGTGTGTGTGTGTGTGTGTGTGTGTGTGTGTAAAGTGCCGTCAAGTTGCAACCGACTTATGGCAACCCCAGTGAGGGGCTTTCAAGGAAAGTGAGAAGCAGAGGCTGTTTGCCATTGCCTTCCTCTGCAGAGGCTTCCTTGGTGGTCTCCCTTTCAAGTAGACAGATCGAGATGGGCAGCCCTGTTAGTCTGTCTGTAGCAGTAGAAAAGAGCAAGAGTCCAGCAGCACCTTAAAGACTAACAAAGTTTGTGGCAGGGGAGGAGCCGTTGTGAGTCACGGTCTCACGAAAGCTCATACCCTGCCACAAAATTTGTTAGTCTTTATGGCACTCCTGGACGCTTGCACTTTTCTATCCCTTCCAAGTAGTAGTAGTAGAAGAAGAGATTGGATTCATACCCCGCCCTTCACTACCCAAGGGAGTCTCAGAGCGGCTCACAAACTCCTTTCCCTTCCCCTCCCCACAACAGACACCCTGTGAGGGAGGTGGGGCTGCGAGAGAAGAAGAGATTGGATTCATACCCCGCCCTTCACTACCCAAAGGAGTCTCAGAGCGGCTCACAAACTCCTTTCCCTTCCCCTCCCCACAACAGCCACCCTGTGAGGGAGGTGGGGCTGCGAGAGAAGAAGAGATTGGATTCATACCCCGCCCTTCACTACCCAAAGGAGTCTCAGAGCGGCTCACAAACTCCTTTCCCTTCCCCTCCCCACAACAGCCACCCTGTGAGGGAGGTGGGGCTGAGAGAGCTCGGACAGAAATGGCTCTTTTTCAAGAGACAGCTCTGAGAGAACTATGGCTTGCCCAAAGTCATCCAGCAGGTGTGAGTGGAGGAGTGGGGAATCATACCCGGTTCTCCCAGATTAGAGTCTGCGCACTTAACCACTACACCAAACTGGCTACAGTTTCAGAGGGCAGCTGTGTTCCTCTACAGTAGGGCAGCTGGATTTGAGTCCGGTAGCACCTTAGAGACCAATAAGATTTTGGGGGTATAAGCCTTTGAGAGTCAAAACTCCCTTTGTCAGATATGTATTATCTGATGAAGGGAGTTTTGACTCTTGAGCGTTTACGTCTTGCCGGTCTCTAAAGTGCTCCTGGACTCGAATCCCTTCCAAGTTCTGACCCTGCGTAGCTTCTGAGATCTGGTGAGATTGGACCACCCTGTGCCGCCTTCCCTCCCAACAGCTCCCTTAGATGGCTTCAACAGGGAGTTCGATTAATGAATGGAGAAGAGGCTAGTTCACCATGATGGCAAAGTAGAACCTCCCTGTGCAGAGGCAGTCGACCTCAGAATGCTGGTTGTTGGGGCCCTCGGCCTCTATGCCCTTGTTTGGGGGCCTTCTCACTGGCCGCTATCAGAAACAGGATGTTGGACTATATGGACCTGCCTATGGCTGATCCAGCAGGGCTCTTCTTCTGAGGTTCTTAGAGTTCAAGGAGGTAGCATCCTCGCCCTGACCTGGATAGCCCAGGCAAGCCCAATCTCATCAGATCTCAGAAGCTGGTCAAGGTCGACTCTGGAAAATACTTGGGGTGGGAGACCTCCTTGGAATACCAGAGGTGGGAGGCAGGGGCAGGCTTTATTCAGCCACTTCTCTGAACGTCCTCCAGGCCCCCAGTAGGGGGGTCAGTCACCAGGGGTCGCCATGACTTCCAGGTGCACTCACACACGCACATATGAAAAATGCAAAAAAACAAAAGCAAAAAAGGAGGTAGCCTGCATATACGTGTGTGCGCGCATGTAGCTAGTAGCATCCTTACACACTGCACGCACCCCTTAGGCGGATCCACAGGCCTCTGCACGCAAAGCCAGGCGTGTTTCTCCAAAGAAGTCTGCAAACTCCTCACCCCAACAGGCTACTTTGGCAAAGCGCAAACGGAGACACATTCGCACTCCGGCCCGGAGCCATAAAGTCGGCATGACGGTAATGCGCCTCTATTAAGCTAAGCTATCTAATGATAATAAAATGGCACATTTAACTTTAAAACATTTCGCTTGACTCTGAAGTGCGCATCAGTGTGTGCATGGGGGGGGAGGGGGTGGCTCAGCCCATGGGGGCTGGTGTGTGTGTTTAATGAATCTGAATGTTAAATGACTTTTCCAGGGTTTTATTGCACTACTTTGAACGGCAGTCAAGAGGTGGTGGGGACTTGGGGGGGGGGAGCTTTCATTTCAATGGATCCATTATGGGCGTGAAAACCGTGGTGCTTCCCCAGGGCTGGATCCCATCTCATCTCTACGGAAGGGGGACGTGTGAACTGGGAGAAGGGCCCTGCTTCCTCTTCCCAAATATTACTAGGATGGGGCGGGGTCTTGCGTGGAAAGCAGACCATACTCAGGCATTTTCAGATACGATACTGAGTGCATTAAATGCATTTTCTGTCTTTGGAGGGGGAAATGAATTAAAAAGCTACCCCTTCGCAGCACCAGAAGAGCCTTCCCAGACTTAACCAGTGGTTCATCTAAGGCCAGCATCCTGTTACCTAGATCGGCCAGCCATAAAGTTTGGTGTAGTGGTTAAGTGTGTGGACTCTAATCTGGGAGAGCCGGGTTTGATTCCCCACTCCTCCACTTGCACCTGGCTGGATGACCATGGGCAAGCCACAGTTCTGTCAGAGCTGTCCTTGAAAAAGAGCAGTTTCTGTCAAGAGCTCTCTCAGCCCCCCCCACCTCACGGGGTGTCTGTTGTGGGGAGGGGAAGGGAAAGGAGATTGTAAACCGTTCTGAGACTCCTCTGGGTAGTGAAGGGCGGGGTATAGATCCAATCTCCTTCTCTTCTTCTTCTTCTCTGCGGGTACTTTTGAGGACTCTTGGTTGGGCAGGGGTAGATTGAACTGTATGGGCCTTTCTGCAGCTTCACATATATCCAAAGCAGGGCTCCCCCCCCATGAACAGAACAAGGGACCATGTTCAAAGAGTATTTTTTTTTAAAGCAGCGCAGTGCTCTTGGTCTTCGTCTCACTGAAGACGGTGGCCTTCACAGGGCGGCTTTGGGGGAGGCCGGGAAGCGGCTTATCCGGAAATGCGCCAGATTGTAAGGGGGCTCCTCCCCCAGGCTCAGCTGGCAAAGGATCTCTCCGACGACTGGGGCAAATTTGAACCCGTGGCCTGTGGGAGAGAAAGGAAGGAAAAGAGGGAACCAGATGCAAATGCCTGACCCGTCCCTGCTTAGCTCTCCTCCTACAGTGGGGCTCAGGACAGAGAGTGGGCCGGGCCGGGCTTTGTTGAGGGGAGTAGGCAGTGAACTGTCCCCCCTCCCCAATTCAGTGATGCAGGAACCCTGCCCTTCCTCATTCTGTTCTCTGTTTGTAAGAGCCTTTTTTGTTTCACCCAGTGTTACTGCTGACGTTCACGATTCGCTTGTTTCTTTTATGTCGTTGATACGCCACCGATGCAAAAAACGACATTTAAGAATGGCTTGATTTGAACAGAAAAAATTCGGCAGGAGGACGCGAAAGAGGATGTGAAGCTATAGGCTGGGAGACAGAAGCCAAGCTGAAACAAGGATCGTCGAGTTGAAATGACAGGGTTTAGGAGCACCCGGCTTATACGGTGGCTGTAGCTAAACCACCCACTGCAATACCCTATAAGAAGAATATCTACCCTACAGGGTTGTTGTAACTACAGCCAGTTATGGTATAGGCCGCCTTGCTACACAATACTACACAAATGCTTTGTAATATTACTATTGATAATAGTAATATTACTGGCCGGCTCCCTGTACCACCCCCCATGTGTGCCTGCTTCCTCCTGTCCCCAACCTGTCCACTGCAATGTTGCTTAGAGAGAGAAGAAAAGAGATTGGATTTATACCTCGCCCTTCGGCTCCCTGTACCACCCCCCATGTGTGCCTGCTTCCTCCTGTCCCCAACCTGTCCACTGCAATGTTGCTTAGAGAGAGAAGAAAAGAGATTGGATTTATACCTCGCCCTTCACTTGGAGTCTCAGAGCGGTTTACAATCTCTTTTCCCTTCACCTCTCCACAACAGACACCCTGTGAGGTAGGTGGGGCTGAGAGAACTCTTTCAAGAACTGCTCTTTCCAGAACAGCTCTGAGAGAACTGTGACTGACCCAAGGTCACTCCAGCAGCTGCATGTGGAGGACTGGGAAATCAAACCAGGTTCTCCCAGATTAGAGTCCACACTCCTAACCACTACACCAAACTAGCGTACCTGAGAATCCTGCCCCAATGACGATGTTGTTAAACCGTGGGTGCCGATCCAAGATGAAGTCCTCATCAGGAGTGTTCTGAGAAGATAAATGGGCATAATATAGATTAGGAGCCCCCAACCTTTTTGAGCCTGTGGGCACCTTTGGGATTCTGGCACAGTGTATTGGACGCAGCCACAAAATGGCTGCCAAAAATGGCTGCTGCAGGGGATGGAGCCAGGCACAAAATGGCTGCCGCAGCTTACCTTCAGTCACACACTGAAGATTCTTGCGCTGTGGTGGCAGCTGCTAGTGAAGCAATGTTTTTAAAAATCTGTACAGCCTGTTAAACCTCCAGGGGCCAATCAGGAGCCTGGCTGGGGAAAAATCCCTACCTGCCCCCAACCATTTTCTAAAAACATGTGGCAGGCACCAGAAAAGGTGTGTGTGGGGGCCTGTGGGGTCTACAGGCACCATGGTGGGGATCCCTGATGTAGACAGAGCCATTCTTGAATGAACTTGCCATCCAGGCACTGGCCGGCCCCTTTCCCAGGAGCCAGGAGGAAGCCCTCAGGAGTGGTGACCCCTCCCAGCTAAGGAGACCAGATCCCAAATGGGGAGAACTGGGGGGGGGTGTCTGCCTGTCTCCTGCCCCCTTTCAAGTATTTATTTATTTATATTATTTAGTTATAAATTAGATTTTTAAACTGCCCTCCCCCATACTTGGGACTCAGGGTGGTGTACAACATTTCATGAGGACACATTCACATCGGGTTTAAAACAAATTAAAAACAGTAAAACAGATTCAGTACCCATTCCAGATAGCACCAGGATGGGCCAGAATTATAGTTCTTGCCCCACAGGGGAAAAGGCGAGGAGGGGCTGAACTGAGTAAAAAAACCTTTGCTGTCCTCAACCACAAGCCTGGTGGAAGACTTCTGTCTTGCAAGCCCTGCAGAACTAGGTCCCGCAGGGCACGGATGTTGTGAAGCAGAGGGTTCCACCAGGTCGGAGCCAGGGCTGAAAAGGCCCTGGCTCTGGTTGAGGACAGCCGAATATTTTTTGGGATAACCAAAAGGTTTTTCGGGATAACCAAAAGATAACCAGGGATAACCAAAAGATTTTTCTCTGCTGAGTGTAATGCTCTTGGGGGGACATATTGTGCAAAAGAGCCAAGGGAGCCTTCCTGCCAATCAATTGTGTGCAGAGGGAGACGGGCAGACAAGTTCTAGCACCATCAGAAAAAAACATTTGCCCATGATGCACAACAGGCTGAAATTCCACAGGGGAGCCACACTGAATATCTGCCTAGGCAGCAGCTGTTGTGTGCAGGTGCACAGCCCGGGACAGAAGGTCCATAGTCTCCCTTACTTCTGGCCCCAGTCGTGCAAGGAAACTTAAAACATGCTCATCCCCACCAAAGCCCCAGGGACTGTTTCCCAAAAGCTTCTTACTGTATACAAGCAGTGCTCCTGTACGGCAGGTTCAGGATCGAGCCCCGGCAGATAGTTCCTCACAAAACCTTGGAGGATCTGGAGGTCAGGCACGGTGGAGGCCCGGTCCAGTTGATCGGGTCGATCGGGTTCCACAGGGCTCCCATGGTGATAGCAGATCTGGAGGGGTGCAGAGGAGAGTCCAGCTGAAGCCAGGGCCCCGCCTTTTAAGGGAAACGGGTAGCTTTGCCTACTTGGGGGGCTGCAATGGGCTCTGTTCCTGACCCTCTCGCTACTGACCCTAGACCTACATCTGCAGTAGCTGAAGTGCATGAAGAAATGTAGCAGGAGAACCAGTCTCATCAAATTTGATTTCCTGGAGGGGTCAGCCAAATACCCCAGAAGGCACACAAGCAGGGGCACGGAGAATCAAGCCTCCCTTGCTGTTTCCCCCAGCAACTAGCTTTCAGGGGTAGACTGGCTCTTAACATGGAGGCTCCAGTGTAGAATCATGGCTAACAGGTGTTCATGGACCTCTCCTATATGCGTTTGTCAACTTGCCTTTTCAGGCCACCTAAGCTAGCAACCATCCCTGCATCTAGCAGCATTGCATCCCAGAGGTTTGTCCACCTTGTGAGAAGATGGTCTTTCTTCTGTTCTCCTTAAATCTCCCACACATCAACTACATTGGGTAGCCCTGAGTTCTAGACCGATTTCCCACAAGCCGCTGCTCCGCCCTTGCTCTCCCCCCCCCTGCAGCTTCACTTCAAAAAACAGGATCAAAAAGACGCAGGGGGGAAATCGGGTGAAGTTGCAGGTCAAAATGCGGCCATGCAGCAAGTAGTGGGAAATTAACACATACAATGGGGGTGGGGGGGGTGGGAAGAAGAACAAGGGTGGAGCAGCGGCTTGTGGGAAATCGGTCCTAGTTTCACTAAAGGAAAAGCCCGAAACTCTTCATGGGCAAGTCTTCATTTGGGGTACCCCTTTTTGTCTTTTGGCCATCTGGGCAAGATCCTTCTTTGGAGAGAGGGTAACAAAATCGGGTCCCACGCGGACTGCCAAGTCCCCCCTGCCCACCAGCAGGGGATGGGGAGGCAGAGTTGCCAGATCCAGGTTGGGAAACTCCTGGAGGTTTGGGGGCCGGAGCCTGGGGAGCCCAGGGACCTCAGTGGGGTACAAGGCCATAGAGTCCACCACCCTCCAAAGCATCCCTTTTCTCTAGGGGGACCCATCTCTGTAGTCTGGAGATGAGCTGTAATTCCGGGGGATCCCCAGGCCCCACCTGGAGGCTGGCCTCCCTAGGGGCAGCTGGACCAGAGTTGGATGCTTCCCCTCCGGGCCCCTCCCTCTGCATGTGACCCCGGCCTCCTCTCACCTTGACAAGGCCTGGGTATTCATCCGTTGGCAACCCGTAGATGTGGTGCGCGTCCTGGTTGAGGTTGATGCCCAGAAAACAAGGTAGGTGTTCCACATGGCTGCGAGTGCCAGAATCTTTTGCTCGCCAGTAGTAGACATGGATGCGCAGGGGCTGGGGGGGGGGCAAGGAAGAGGGTGAGGCTCCTTTTGTGCGCCCCCCCCCCGGCTGAAGATGGACAGTGTCACTGGTGGCCAGGGAGGGCTTTGTACACGGCATGCACTCAGCTGGGAGAGGGACTGTTATCGGTCATGGGGCACAGAGCTTACCAGCTCTGTTGTGTGGGACTCATACGGGCTCCTCTATCGAAGCTGGTCCTTCCACTGGGTGCCCCAGGGGTTACCAGCTCTGGGTTGGGAAATTCCTGGAGATTTTGAGGTGAAGCCTGAGGGAGGGCATGGTTCGGTGTCGTGGTTAAGTGCGCGGACTCTAATCTGGGAGAACCGGGTTTGATTCCCCACTCCTCCACTTGCACCTGCTGGATGACCTTGGGCAAGCCACAGTTCTGTCAGAGCTGTTCTTGAAAAAGAGCCGTTTCTGTCAAGAGCTCTCTCAGACCCACCCACCTCACAGGGTGGCTGTTGTGGGGAGGGGAAGGGAAAGGAGTTTGTAAGCCGCCCTGAGACTCCTCTGGGTAGTGAAGGGCGGGGTATGAATCCAGTCTCCTTCTTCTTCTTTATGGGGGAGGGACCACAGTGGGCTATAATGTCATAGACTTTACCCTCCAAAACACCCATTTTCTCCAGGGGAACTGATCTAATTTGCCTGGAGATCAGTTGTGATTCTGGGAGATTGTCAGCTATGCTGCCATGGGGGTTGGAGAGTTCATTCTGTGTCTTGGTAATTGCTATTGCATTCCTATCTCTGCTGTTCTGCCTGTGCTGAAATGCTTATCACTACAGATGTGCAGGAGGAGGTTGTGTTGTCTGGAAGTCTCCGATGTACCGTGAGAGACTACTGCTTCCCAGCTTTCGCCACCTAACGGTTTCCTAGCTGGTCCCGCGAGCGGGAAGGTAGCTAATTGGCCCATGCCATGGGGGGGTGCATATGAATGCCCTATATCCTATTATGCTCAAGGGGTTGCCGCCATTCTTAACAGTGCCTGTGTAACTGCATCTATAGCTTTGCATCTATAGCTTTGCAATAAAAGTATAACCGTTCCTGAATGCGTGTACTTCGTTGTAAGCTGTGGGTTCTGACATTCTGACAACCCTGTAGTATTGCCTGTTTTGCAGCTCATTTGAAAGCAGTTTTTTTTCCCCATTGCAACATCAGGCAACCTAATGTGCCCAGGGCAAGAAGTAGAGATTAAAAGGAATTTAATGCAGTTTTGTTTTGTTTTTGTTTTGCTCAGAATGGGTAGCAGCCACGTTTGTTACCACCTTAAAGACTAACCAAATTTGTGGCAGGGGATGAATTTTTGTGAGTCGCTCCTCACTGAACCCTGCCACCAATTCTGTTAATCTTTAGGTGCTGCTGGACTCTTGCTCTTTTTTCCTGCTACAGACTAACACGGCTACCGGTCTTGATCTATCTGAAGAAGTGAGCCGTGACTCACGAAAGCTCCTCCCCTGCCACAAATTTGGTTAGTCTTTAAGGTGCTCCTGGACTCTGGCTCTTTTCCGCTGCTACAGACAGACTAACATGGCTGCTCATCTTGATGTATCTCCTTGGAAGGCACCACATTTAGCCATACAGGATTTTAGGAAGGATGTTGACAAGCTCGAGCGTGTCCAGAGGAGGACAACCAGAATGGTGAGAGGGCTGGAATCCAAGTCTTACGAGGAAAGGCTGAAATAGTTGGGTATGTTTAGCATGGGAAAGAGAAGGCTTAGAGGGGACATGATTGCAGTCTTCAAGTACTTGAAGGGCCGTCATGTAGAAGATGGAGCAGACCTATTCTCTCTTGCTCCGGATTGTAAGACTAGATCTAATGGGTGGAAATTACAAGGGAGTTGTTACCGGCTAAATATTAGGGTAAACTTCCTAACTGTAAGAGTGGTTGAGCAGTGGAACAGACTGCCTCAGGAGGTGGTAGATGCTCCTTCTCTGGATGTTTTCAAGCAGAGGCTGGACGACGATCTTTCAGATATGTTGTAGGGCTGTCTTTCGGCTATGCTCCTGCAGAGGGCAGGGGGTTGGACTAGATGATCCGCAAGATCCCTTCCAACTCTAACATTCTATGATTCTATGAAATCCATCAGCCTTGTGAAGAAACTTGCACAGATACAAAGACAGCCTCTTTCTCACCATATGCAGAATACTTAACGTTATTCCAAAGGGACTGGTTTAAAAAAAATCGGGGGGGGGGGGAATGTCGCTTTTGAAATCAGTTTCAAAAGTTGGTGGGAAAGATCTAAATGTTAGGTCTTGCTGCTTTTTAAAACGCTAGTGCTAAGGTTTTAAGCCCTGGCCCCATCCAGCGAACAGCGAGATGTGATTAATCCCTGCTGCAACCAAAGGAATGAGTTAATTGCAACCAATTGAAGTCCTCTCGCTTTCAACAGCCTTGATTTAATATTACCTGGATCATGTCCTTTGGGAGGATTTGAGCAGGGAATGCAACATCATACTTAAGAAAGCATAAATAAAGAGCCAGATCCAAGTCTTGTAGGCCCATAAAGGCCAACAAGTTTTCCAGGGTTCTGAACTCTCGAGAGCTACAGCTCCCTTCGTCAGAAACAAGCAGGAATAGAGATCCCTGGGTCTGTATACCCCAGTCAGGAAGTGGAGCGGTGTTGCAAAGAAGGAAGTCGGGGTGCCAAGGTACAATGCGGGCTATTATCAGCTTGATTAGAGCCAGGGAGATAAGAAAAGTAGTAAAGAGGAGGAGGAGATTGGATTTATACCCCGCCCTTCACCTGGAGTCTCAGAGTGGCTTACAAACTCCTTCCCCCTCCCCCTCCCCACAACAGACACCCAGTGAGGTCGGCGGGGCTGAGAGAACTCTGACACAAACTGCTCTTTTTCAAGGACAGCTGTGCCAGAGCTTGTGACTGACCCAAGGTCACATCAGCAGGTGCAAGTGGAGGAGTGGGGAATCAAACCTGGTTCTCCCAGATTAAGAGTCCGCGCACTTAACCACTACTCCAAACTGGCTCTTTGGGCAAGAGGGCAAGTAGACCTGGACTTTTGCAAGTCGCTTTGTGACATGTTCTCCCCATCCAGTTCCTTTTGGTTCCGGCAAAAGCCGAACCAATAAACCTCCCCAAACCAGGGTTGCCAGCTCTGGGTTGGGAAATTCCTGGAGATCTGGGGATGGAGCACAAGAAGGGTGGAGTTTGGGGGGGGGGGGACCTCAGCAAGATATAACGCTAGAATACTAGTCCAGCCTCTGAAGCAGCCATTTCCTCTGGGGAGTGGCTCTCTGACGTCTGGAGACCGGTTGGGATGTCAGATGATCTCCAGGCCCCACCTGGAGGCTGGCAACCACCCCCTGTACCATCTTGTTGAGGTAGGATCGGGGGATGCCCCGGAAGCCCTGGATGAGACCTTTACTTGCATGAAACTTTGGCTCCGTCCTACACCACCTTAGGATCGGTAAGAGGTGATCGGACTGGCTAGACTACTTCAGACTCCAGGTGAGAACAGTCCCACTCCTGAAGGCTCCCTATGCAAAGGAAAGGAGACCCCGCAAGCAGAAAGCTAGCACATCGAGGAAAGAACATCCAGCCCGGCCCTTTCCATGCTATTTTCGGGGGGATTTTTAAGCTGCACACAAATTTGAAACTGTGGTCGGTCCCCTGGCTGCAGTCTGCAGTGGTACACCTAGTTCGGTTCCACTGGCAGCCAGTGTTCCCTCTAAGGTGAGTTACTGTGAGCTAGCTCACAGTTTTTTAGCCTCCGGCTCACCCATTTTTGTCTCCGCTCAGGAAGGAGGGCTCCAGAGCAAACTGATTTATGCAGCAGCCAAATTGCTCGCTCACAACTTTAATGGCAGTAGCTCACAAAGTAGAGTTTTTGCTCACAAGACTCCACAGCTTAGAGGCAACATTGCTGGCAGCTCAGGCCTCTGGGGCTGACTGAAATACCAGGAAATTCGGAGGGGGGGGTAGAGCCTGAGGAGGGAGGGGTTTGGGAAGGGGAGGGGTTTCAAAGGGATAGGGTGCCATACAGTCCACCTTCCAAAGCAGCCACTTTCTCCAGGTGAATCGATCTCTTTTCACCGAGAGACAGTGTTCCCTCTAAGCTGAGTTAGTGTGAGCTAGCTCACAGGTTTTTAGCCTCCAGCTCACACATTTTTGTCTTGGCTCAGGGAGGGATGGCTCCAGAGCAAAGTAATTAATGCAGCAGCCAAATCAGTCGCTCACAGCTTTAATGCTAGCAGCTCACAATGGAGAATTTTTGCTCACAAGCAGGGGTCATTTCGTAGAAAAAGAGGTGCAGGAACTCATTAGCATAACGTATTTGCATATTTCACACCCCCTGCCATCACTGGAAGTGTGTCAGAAGGCAACATCCACCACTCAGGCTCCACTGGACTGTTTTGGATTGCTAGCTATTGGGGGGGAGGATGTGCAGATCTGTCCTCGCAGAGGAGGGAGAGCTTGGACCTGAGTAAAACTTGGTCTTAAAGGTGCCACTGGACTGTTTTGGACCGGGGGGGGGGGGCTCTGCAACTTACCTGGCTGCTTCTTGCTCTGACTGAGGGCTGCTGGGAGCAGGGGGTGGTGCTTGTTGCATGTGCCCGCCCCCTTGGCTCTTTACTGCCGGAGCTCTGCTCCTGTGCGCCCCTGCAGGAAATGACCCCTGCTCACAAGACTCCACAGCTTAGAGGGAACATTGCCTAGAGATCAGTTGTAATCCCAGGAGATCTCCAGCCAGCACCTGGAGGCTGGCGTCCGTACTGGTCAGGCCTTGCCTCTGGCCCCAGCTTCTCGTTCCTCCCGCCGGTGTGCAGCAAGGCCCAGCGCTTACCTGGAGAGGCAGCTGCACTCCCAGTGGATCCAGGAGGCGGCTGCTCCATGGCCCTGCCGTGACCACAAGGCGTTTCGCCCGGTACTCCCCACGGTTGGTTGTTATCGTGACCGCACTCCCAGGAAGGATGGCGAGCACCTTTTCACCATCCCGCACGGTTCCTCCACTGCGTCGGAACTGCTCCTGATGGAGAAAGGGGGCTGGATCAGTCTCTCTTGCTGCCCTCTTGGCCGAGTCCCAAAGGACTCTGCTCATCGTCCTCTGCTCCTCCGCATCCTGCTCTACTTCCGTGAACATTTTTTGTTGGCCCAAAATGTATCTGCATGGGTCATTGGGTTGCCAGGTCCCTCCTCACCATAGGTGAGGGGCATGTCGGATGTTTAATATCCAGCTGTCAGATCATGGTGATCTATGTGTCAGCAGGCAAGCTGCTGGAAACTGGTCCTGACCAGTTGAGACCTGATAAGGAATGAGGTCAGTGACAATGAGTCAGCACTTAGCTGATTGGACGCTGTATGTATATAACTGGACAAGTGCAGCCCTGCTCATTCTCTTCTTGTGTAATGGTGATTGGCGGAGCACTTTGTCAGTGGACTGTAAATATTGTAAATAAATTCTGTATATAGCTTACCACAGGACTGTCTTGTGTGGTGCTATACAGAGCTTACTCTGGAATAGTCTGCTGGTGAGTGGCTGGTGAGTTGGAGTGGCTGAAACAGTCCTGGTGGCTGGCTACTGTTGGCTAGAAGCAGACACGCTGTGCCAGTTCCAGGTTGGGAAACTTCTAGAGATTTGGGGGTGGAACCTGGGAAGGACAGGGACTCCAGTGAGCGACAAGGCCATAGAGTCCACCACCCTCCAAAGCGGCCGTTGTCTCCAGGGGAACTGATCTCTGACACACTGTGCCAGTTCCAGGTTGGGAAACTTCTAGAGGTTTGGGGGTGGAACCCGGGAAGGACAGGGACTCCAGTGAGCGACAAGGCCATAGAGTCCACCACCCTCCAAAGCGGCCGTTGTCTCCAGGGGAACTGATCTCTGACACACTGTGCCAGTTCCAGGTTGGGAAACTTCTAGAGATTTGGGGGTGGAACCCGGGAAGGACAGGGACTCCAGTGAGCGACAAGGCCATAGAGTCCACCACCCTCCAAAGTGGCCGTTGTCTCCAGGGGAACTGATCTCTGGAGTCTGGAGATGAGCTGCAATTCCAGGGGATCTCCAGGTCCCACCTGGAGGCTGGCATCCCTGGCAGGAGCAGTCTATCTGAGCAATGCAAAGCTGGCATTTTAGCAGCTCTTTCCCGCTAGTTATATACAACTGTTCTCAGCTGGCCCCTGGGTCAGTTTCCAAAGTCTGGGGCCGGTGCAGAATTGGGACCTGCCCGTGGGGGTACAGGACAATCATAAGAACAGGAATTCCAGCCAAAATGTGGAAGGCTTTGCTTCTTTCCTGCCGGTTTTTCCCAGCAGAAAAGTTTCCCTTCTTTCTGCCCCGTTTTTATGGAGTTTGTCAGTGCCCGCAAATAGGGCTGCCAGGTCCGGGTTGGGAAATACCTGGAGATTTTGGGGGTTGAGCCTGAGGAGGGTGGGGCTTGGGGAGGGGAGGGGCTTCGGTGGGGTAGAAGGCCACAGAGTCCACCTTCCAAAGTGGCCCTTTTCTCCAGGGAAACTGATTTCTGTCACCTGTCATCCCAGGAGGTCTCCAGCCACCACCTGGTCTTTCACCCCTCAAAACAGGCCTCTGCCCCAAGCTGCCCTTCTCAACTTCCACGGTCCAGGGGGCAATAGCTGAAAGAAGGAAGAGGTGGGGGGGTAAGTCTCTCCTCCCTCCCTGTTACCTGGACAGCTTTCAGTGCTTTGTCGGGGTACAGGACCCCTGCCGTCAGGTCTGCCACAGCCATCTCCCCGCCGTGAGGACGGATCTCCGGGTACTTTTGCGCCAGGGCTTGTGGAGTGAAAGTTTCGTGGGGGATGTCAAGGCGCTGCATGGTCTGCCAGTAGCTCTGGAACTCGGGGTTCTGCTGCCGCCCCAGAACCAGCATCGGGGTTGGTCTGTAGAAACAGGGCCGATAGAATCACAGAGTGGGAAGGGAACTCCAGGGTCATCTAGTCCAACCCCCTGCACAAGGCAGGAAGTTCACAAATACCTCTCCTTCCATACCCACAGTGACCCCTGTCCCACGCCCAAAAGATGACCAACTTTTGAAGCGAAGAAAAAGAAGATGATCAGAGATTTCTCCCATAACAACAAACAAAATAATTTATAAATAGCGAACTGTTATAAGCAAGAACTCTACAAGTGTATTGTGACATTAACTCTAACAGTACTAACATTTTAACTAACACTGAAAGGATCTCCTCCTCTTGGGGTTTTAGACTAGTGTGGTTTGCTTTGCTTTCTCCTTAGATGTAGTCCCTTCCCTATTATTTCTTTGTAGTTTTTGTAGTTTTGCAAAATAAAAAAATGTCCCTTCAGGGATTTAAAAAAACAAACAAACAAAAAACAACAACAACAGGATTCCTGGCCAAACTGGCCTGGAGAAAAATTGCTTCTTGACCCCAAAGTGGTGATCACCATTTCCCTGGGCGTGTAAGAAAGGGGCGTGAGAACTAAGCACTGAGGCAACCCTCCCTGCCCTCCCTCTCATGACCTGCCTGAGTTCACAGAATCCGCATTGCTGTCAGATGGCCATTTAGCCTCTGTTTGAAAACCTCCATCTAGCCCACCACCTCCCGAGGAAGCCTGTTCCACTGAGGAAACTCTCAAACTGTCAGGAAGTTCTTCCTAATGTTTAGTCGAAAACTCTTCTGATTAAATTTCAATCTCTTGGTTCTGGCCCGAGCTTCTGGGGCAAGAGAAAACAACTCCACACCATCCTCTACATGACAGCCCTTCAAGGACTTGAAGATGGACTGGAAGATGTTGGAGGAGCTCAGCTTTTGGGGCTTGGGGGAGGGGCTGCTGG